CTGTTTAAAGTACAGTAACTCTCTCTCCTTCCCCCTCTCTCCTTTTCTCTAAAATTGAAGCCCTTAGGCTGACAATAAATCCCCATGCAAACATCTGTTTAATACCTGAACGACCAGAATTTGAAAACATTTAATTTAAACCGAGGTGTCTTTTTCTCTTTTCTCTTTCAATAGCCGACGCGAAGTAGAATAGCTGGTTTCAGGTCAACTTTTCGACTGAAAGCCCAGCTTTCCTCTGGCTCCTATTATTAATCACCCAATAAAATTAACACTATCAAAATGTTGAAATCAGGGTCTCTCCTCACCTCTGAAAAAAAAAAGCTCCCCTTCTGAAAAGCACGCTCGGCTCTGTTCACCGTCTAAACTAGTACATAATTAATAGCCTTGCCAACTTAGTACCAATCTCGCTGTAAAGAGATTCATTGTTAACACAATCTGACATTTGTCCCAAGTTAGGAGAAAAACCTAAAAAAGAAAGAAAGAAAAAAGAATTGAAAGGGTCTTTTGTTGGGGGTTAGTTATCGCCAAAGCAGATAGCTATTGCCTCGGCCGAACAAATGCTGGTGAAGGAATAAGGCCAAGCCTAATGGCCAACCATGGATAACAGAGCCTAATGTGTGACTACGCTGCCTCAAGGAAGCACGCCCAAGGAGTGACTGAGCAGCCTTTAGAAAACCAACAGGCGCTAATCCATTGCCACAGGTTGCATAATATTCAATCTTAACGGGCGGCGGCAGCAAAATGCTCTAGTCTGAAGCCTGTTGGCCGGTGGCGCACAAACTGCTGGTGAAATAACACAGTACTGGGTTTTCTAGCACTGAAAATAACAAGTCTGAGATATCATGTACCACAAAAATGGGTGCGGGATTATACACAGAACTGTGTGTAACACTGACATGCGCCTCCATCTTACCAGAGGTTGGTCGTAATAGTTCTTTTGCTTCCCTTGTCAGACCATAGAGGTCAACCAGTCAAATGAAATATGTTGGGCTATCAACTTTGATAAGAAACACTCCCAGCAACCTTTTTTCCTACCATCCTGATAACGGTTCAGTTTGGATGCCTTTACTCGGCAGGGTGAGGGTGTGTGCGTGTGTCCCTAGGGTAAACCTGAGCTGAGCCTCTCAAGTTGGGTACAACAAACTGCACTGTCTTCCATTTCAAACCTCAAATACGTGATTGTTAGTACACCATTTTTGCTGACGACTTTTCGTTTGGAAAATGTTACAGTCCTGCCTTGTATTTCTGCCATTAAAGCTGATAGCTGCATGTCATGCGTGGTATCAGTTATTCGTTAGTTACATGTGGTGTCAAATTAATGTGTAAGCATTCAGATTTATGTAATAATACAATGATTTATAGTGAATATTTCAGGTTCAAATTGAGGGTTCTATAGTTTTTATGGTTATTTGGGGTGTGGTGTATACATCAATATTTTACTTAGACTTGTTGAACATACATGTACATATTGACTGGTTTCCTGTTTCTCCAATGTAAACACACTCCATAAAAAAAGTACCAGGGAAAGAAAGTTCTGTGATTTTGTTTCAAAAGTACCATTCCCTATGAAGAGAACTCAGAAAAAATATGAAGACAATAAATCCGAACAAGGAATGCATTCATCTTTATATTAAACTAGTTACCATGTGAATGATATCTCTTTGTGAGTTGTGTGGTTCTGAGAAGAACCAGTTGGTTTAACTCAACGTTTTGAACCCTACATCAGGAGACAGTCTCCTGATGACAAACAGAGCATGGTTTTACCACAAACATCGATCATGTCCACCATGCAAACCATTAAGTCTCATTCAAACTAGTGACCTTTTTACAGATACATGTAGGAAGCATTCAATACAGTATGTATGCACTGCATCCTGGGATAGTTTGCGATACGAATGGAGATTTGTGCAGAACGTACTCTCCCACAACACAGCAAATATATAAACCTTCACGGCGCATTTCTGTTCTTGTGGCCATCCACAAAAGTGTCTAAGATTGAGCAACAACTGAAGATGAAGTCAACTATTTCATGTTTATTCCATAATCCTTGATCAATACATGAATGCAAATCAATGAGACTACGAGCGATAGATACCAATATCCAATTAGTAAACAATCTATTTTTTAGCCTCGAACCAAGTTTGAAAGCTTGGTGCATTGTTCACCGATTAAAAAATAGGATTTTGTGAACAAGACAAAATGCTGTTTTGATGAGAAGAAAACATGATGTTTTCTACTCATGAAGCAGAGCACATGATGCCTCAAGGCTATTGAACAGAGGGTCATAATTGCCTGTGTAATGTATATTGATCAGTCTGGGAGCCATCACTAACATATTTACCATTGAACGCGACTGTACTTTTCACATGCTGATGTGTTTTGTGTTTGAATACCAAGCTGAACTAGATTGGTTTGACTGAAGTGTGGGTGAACAGTTGTGACTTAACATTGTTTATTTGTTAGTTTGCTGTTTATTTGTTGTGCTATTAATGAAAGGTTGATGTACATGTAATACTCATGCATGTAATCTTAAAACCAATAGTGAGAGTCGAACAAATTTTTGTTTTCAAAAATATTGTGTTGTACAAGCAAACCTGTGTGATCTAGTGGTTGTAGGTCAGGAGCCTTGTAAGTCAACATTTTTCTCCAATGCACAACAAGAACAGGTAGAATATCTAAACAGGGTGAATATGAAGACAAGATCCCCTGACTTTTCCCTGAGGCTGATGATTCCCTGCGAAATGTCAAACATTCCATGAGGATTATTTTAAAGAGAGGACAGCCAATTCTTATTGTCTGGAAAGATGCGTAATATTCTCACTGCATAAACTCTAAAAAGCCACCACTGCACTGTCAGTCGATGAACACAAGACACACAAATGCCTGGTGAAACCCTTTCTGTTCCGGGTCACAATCAAAGTCCCCGAGTTTTCCCTGATTGTTGTTATTTTCCCCCAAATTCACTAGGTTTTCCCTGACTGGGAGAATGGAGACTCATTAAAGATACATGTAAGCCCCTGTATACAAAAATGTTATGACTGTTGGTCGTCATGTCATTGTACATAAATAAATTGCTCTTAAAGAGTTAGAAATTTAAAATCATTAAACAGAAACTCACTGACAAGGTTTTTGTAACATATGAGTCAAAGATGTAATGTTACAGATGAAAAAACTTGGCCAAATGTTCAACTGTTATCCGTTAGCAAAGAGAGCTTTCAGGAGTTTGTGGTGTTGGTGTTGTCATTTGGAGTGGAGTGGGGAGGACTGTTTTGTGAATTCTGTCAATTACATGTACAACACCAGTACAGACCTCATTGTTATATTGAACATTTTGTAAAAAAGAAAAATTAATAAAAACAAGTGTTCAACTCCATGCCTTGTGTCCAGCAGTAAGCTTTCAACTTGTCACAATGAAATGACAAATTTAATTATTTTTTTTTCAATCCAAAAACATTTTGCAAATGGTAGCATTCTCCGTTTGCAATTTAATTATTTTGACTATCTTGGTACCTATACATTTGCAAACTCAGAAAAACCTAAAAAGAAGTGCGAAAAGCTTATAAGTAGCAAAATTACAATACAACGAAGATGTTCTTTTTTTCCTTTTCATAATTAGCAAATTGTTTGCAGCAGGTTCATTTATTGTTAATGCAGTTTTTTTCATAGACAGAATACTGTATGTATCCACGAAAATCTCATGTTATGAAAATTACGAGAATGTTTTTTTTATTGCTGAAATGAAAAATCTGAATATGAATGCTTCTTTTGCCAAGTGAGCTTAAGTTATCAAGGAAATTATATATAGCCTTTTTTAAAAACAAAATAAATTTGCCAAGGTCGGCTTTCCGTTGAGTTTCATAATCCTGACTTGTGCCAACAATGAGGGGGTTGGCTCCACGGATGTGATGCATTAATAACAAATTGCAGGCCCAAGCCCAGGCCGTATTCACACCTGCCATTTTAAACAAAAGCTAGAGGCCGCTGGACATTTGTGTCTGGGGTTTGGTTTTTTTGTTGTTGTGGGTCTTTTATTGGTGTTGTCATTTGGAGTGGAGTGGGGGAGGGGTGTTTTGTCACGGTGCACACCACACGCCATTGAACTCACACAAGCAGCCTGGTAATTTACAAACCACATTCGGGGAATGTTATACATTTTGATTTGCTAAGTATTATTGTTACCGGTAGTTGTCCTTGTGTCCATTCAATATGGGCTAATAGAGCACAAAGCAATGATGAAATCCTATTTTTTGAAAACATATAGACCCAAAACGTGACAGATCTCGAGGTCTTTTCCCTGCTTAGTCAGGCACTATGTTGCAGTTTGTGAGCGAACACAATTAAATACACATTTTGACTAACCATGCTAACACAAGAGTATTCTGAATTCAAGGCAGTAATTTTACCAGCATCGTTACTTAAGTTAGCAAAGTAAATACGACAAGATGAATTACAGATAATTTTTGTTCGTTTTAAGCTTAAGTGAGCAAAATATATGAAAGAAGTGCTCCTTATTTGGAATGATCTCAAAGGTGAGATAACATCGTGATTCAAGAGTGAAAATGACAGTAAATCAAACAAAATCATTCATTGTGACAATCATATTTCAGAAGTGACACGGCCACTTGTCAAAAGACAATGTGAAAAATGACACAGATACGTAACCAAAATGCCGCGCTTGACAGCACGCGCCTAATTACATCAAACCCATCGCTGCAGATTAAAAATCATACATGCATCGCGAGGAGAATTTCATGCATATATTAATCCACCGTAATTAATCAAACACTGTCTCGTCCATTCAGCAGAATTACTGGCAACTTATGACCAACGCGAAGAGGTGAAATTAAAAAAATTGTGCAGAACAAGACAAGGCCTCAAAATTACATTGAGAATAGAGACACTAAACGTTGTTAGTACAGATTATAATACTACTAGAGAACTCAAAAGACTTCATGAAAATGATAAATACAAAGACAGGATAAAAATGTAAAAAGACATACCCAGTGAAAAGATCTTCGTTTTCGACAATCTTCTTCCAGAAGACCTCCATGACGATCGGAACCAAGGTGAAAACCAAAAATTACACCATACACTGATGTACTTTTCTTGTTCAGTTGATGGTCAGTTGCTCAGCCAAATAACGGTGGAATATCCGCACGTCTGACACACGGCAAACCACGCTAAAATGGAAACAGTTAGCTTGAGAACACAACCGGTGTGTTGGATGAAAACTAGTAGGCGACCCGTCGGATGGTCAGTTATTATGCTGGTGGACTTTGTTGCAGACTGAGATGTTGACAAGATCCAAAAACACTACTGCTACCAATGACAACAGCACAGCACAGGTAGATTGGTTGGCTCCTGATCCTCACTTGCTGAGACTGTGGTGGGTTTGAGATGGAGGTGCCTGGGCTTAAAACATCAGTGAAAGACACAAGGATGAAACTGGTTGTCAAACCTCAAGAGTGGATTCAACTACAACCGAGCCAGACTAGAGAACAGTCCTCACTGAATCAACAGCAGCAAAAGAAGGTTGGCAGCATGGTTAGTATTCAGCCTCACTTGGTTGTGGTAGGACGGCCCGGGTCTGGCCCACAATCCTAGCCAGTAGCTTGTCAAATGCCTGGGCTGGCATATCTCCCTCTCATATTATAGGCCTTTTCTATCCCAGCTATGCGCACACTGCACTATCTCTGCCTTTACACTGTGTTCTCGTACGGCCACAGTACACGTACACTCTACCTCATAAAGTTCAGTCAAGGCCAACATCAACCCCTCAGCTTGCTGGTAAACGGTGCCACGACAGCCTGTAATGAACATGAACTTAGTGCATGGCCAGCCACAACTGGACCAGTGTGTGTGGTTCCCACGTCGAGGCTCCCCGGCATGCTGGAGATTTGTCCAACCGAGGAGGCCGCGGAGCCTCTTTCATGAAAGGCATCAGACCAACTATGCCAATTTGCATGGTGTATGGCCAGGCCCATTGCACAGCACAAGAGCTTGAATGGAAACACAGCAAGGACAAATCAAAAGGGGTGACCTCCTTTTGGGGGGCTGGAGTCATTCAGCAGAAAATATTGCGATTAAATGGGCAGGGGAAATATATGACAGTTGAATGATAACAAGAACGCCTATATTGTGGACCCGATGATACAGCCATTGTGGTCAAGCTTGTCGGGAATAATGCTGGGGTATACAAATGGGCTCTTAAAATACCACTGTGTGCTATGGGTTGACAAGCACTTTTTTTAAGCAACGATACAGAAATATAGATGTACGTGTGTGAAATACACAAAAGGCAGTTGGGCCAAACAAAGACATTTGCAAAAAAATTCGGAGCGTATCTGCTTGGCTCGACAGGAGTGCCAACAAGCATAAAGGAATTGCCAGTATGCCCCTGGGCAACTGAAATCAAGGTACAAAGATTTGATAAAGGTGCAAGCCTAATAAAAAATTGGATGGTTCTCCTGTACTTTGGGCTAGAACCTTGCATACTAAGAACACGGAACAAGTCATCACTGCACACTTTCTGCAATAAAGGTACAAATAGTAAGATTGTTGTTGACCAAATACTTGAATATGATCCATTGAGATAGCATTTATGTATAAACCCCTACATGAAATGTTTCATTTATGCAACATGTTCTCTGGGTCATCTCACACACACTAGAACTCCAGTGTAAATTTGACAATGGCTCGCGGTAGAATGTAGACACCGACAACAGGAAGGAACCAGAGATAAAGGCAAAACTGGCCACCAGGATTAAAAGTGATAAGGCTGCGAAACAGAAAACAGACGAGTGAAAAAGAAACAAGCCAACATACAGGAATAAAACGGGGGTCAATTTTATGCAGCTGCCAGACACAGAACTTTACTAAGCACATTAGGTTTTGCCTACGAGCGACAGGATACCAGTCAGATATTCCATGCAATGTACATTGTTTTTAAACCAACAATCATTTTATTCAACAACCAGTCATAAGCTTTTACTGTTAACAGTTATAACATGAAATGTTACCAGTTATATGATAATCCAGTTTATCCACATCATGTAAACCAACAATCCTTTTATTCAACAACTAGTTATTTGCTTAATCTGATGCTATTACTGTTAACTGTTAATCCAGTTTACCTAGAGGATTTAATCCACACTGATTCAGTTCAGCAGGTTTAGAGTATCTGAGATGGGTTCTACAGTGATTTGACTCTGAAAGGCAAGGTTTACATGTAACAAAACCCTGGTCAGATTTCTTTCAATGGGTTTCAATGGTACGGATGTATTAATCCAAAAGTGCACCAAATGTACAGCATTTAGGAATATTATCAGCAAGTTTCTCAACTCAGACCAATTGTTATGATTTCTGTACTGAGCTGTTAAAACTGACATGAATCAATATTCAAGCCTGATTTGTTTTTAGTTATATTAACCGAAATTCCAAAAACCCACTGCATTTACTTTTTAATTTTTTACTTGATACTCATCATTAAAAGTCACCAAATACTCAACTGAACCTGTACACACTTTTTAGGACTACTGTAGATAGCTGTTTCCATACTGCTTGAAGTGGTATTATTGACAGACGCTTATAAAGGAAACAATTTTCTCAAGACATAATCCAAATATTACAAAGTTTTCCCAAAACTACAAGGTTCATTAAGAAAAAGGACTCCAGGTGATGCCTTTGAAGTCTCATATCTGCAAATTTATACCACCTAAAACGATCAATATCCAAGGCCAAGTTTTGCTGGAACACTGCAACATTTGAGCAGCATTTCTGCTAACATCCACATGTTTGTTAGCAATACCTTCAAGTTTTAAGAGTACACCGAGTATGACCACCAGTCTAGTCACAAAACAACAAACTGACCTGCCGTGACCTCTAGGAGCCCTGTCACTGACCTAGAGTGACCCTAGGTACACCACCCAGCCCCTCCAGAAAGACAAATAACGGGGCAGTCTGTTGAGAGTTGAGTGAACTTGATAGAAACAGAAAGACACAGGTGAACCAAGACTCATTGAGAAAGCTTGACATTGTTCAGAGAAAAAAAAGGTACGGTTTACTTTTCCAACAAATACAGGCGTAGATTGTTACAGTAAATATTAGGCTGGAGTTTGCTTGGATATAACAATGGACACTGTAGAAAGGATTACTTGCAGTTAAAGGTAGTTGATACCATTTGGAAAAGAAAAATGTATTTTTTTGCCGATTCAAGGAAAGCAATACAATAAATCAGAGGCATGTTATTAAAAAAATAGCCCATCAAAATGTCTGGTCAGAAGATATGCTTTTTGAGAAAACTGTAAAATGGGTAGATTGACCAGCAATTTCAAGAAGTGTTTTTTCAGAAGTTAAATGGTTCTGTTGTTTATGCAAAAACAGAAACCAAATGGTGATCAAATGCTGTGAATTGTCTGTGGCAAACCAATGCAATACCGCTAAAAAAATAAAAAGCGAATACATTTTATGTGTTCCTTCTTTTTCTTACATATTATTCCAATTCCCCATCAAAGTATAGAACAAAAAAATCTCTTGTGGAGATAAACAGGTTGAAATAAATGGACGATTCAGTCAATAAAGTCCAGCCTAGAAGCATTTCCCCCCGATACTGAAGCTAATTAGTCGTTCTATCCATGACAGTACTGATTGTTCAAGTTCCCGAAGCTCATAGGCCAAGAGCCGAAATCAACTAGCTTGTTTAAACGGTCTTCACTGCAAAATCCTGCCCGCGGGGTTCACCGCGACACTTGAAGCACGCACAAGTACACTGGAAAGGCTACTTCACTTGCAAACCTCGCCCGACGGACTCGACGTTTGCAATATACCGAGGACGTCTCACCGGTACGCTGCCAGGAGGAAACGATCGACCCACGGCATCAACTGACAAATATCTCCAAGCCGCAAACCCCATGGACGCAAAAAACGAAACAGAAGATTGGGAAATCTATTGATATTGGAGGAGAAAACCGACTCCCCCTCAGAGACTTGAGGCTTCAGGGGTCCCGCCGATAACAAGATAGTAATACACGCCTGCTACTTAGCGCTAACACGCAACGGTCGTGTCGGACGGTACCCATTCAGTCTTTAGGTGTCACTCGCTATTTTTTCGGGGGGTTTAATAGTATTCAGCGGTTGCAACGCTCTAATTGACGGGGCATTGTGTTGCCGACTGTCACAAGAGACTGTGAGAGAGTATGGGTGAGACAGTGTCGGTGATCATGAGAGATACAAGGAACAAATCTTCAGGCTAAATTGGTTCTTGTGGTCCCAGGTTGGATGGCCGGGTGAAAATTACGTCTGAAAATGATGTGACATGGTGCATAGGTAAATTGGTCCCTGGGCAACCATTTGTTTTCTTCCCGTTAAGCCTGGCTGGCTACTGTAATGTCACAAATGGATGAAATTGCACCAAGTAACTCCAAGATAATTGGATTTGACCAAAAAAAAAAAAAAAAAACTTTATTAGCAATTGGGTGTATTCATAACTTCTGATTTTGTTCTGTGTAAAAGGAGTATTTGGAATTAATGAAGATTTGTCCAATAGCATTTCAGGATTTAGAACTGAGTGGCTTTGATTTCACAAAAGGTCGATGAAGCAGCAAATTCAAAGTTTTCGTTTTCATGGCAGTTTTCGCCGTTAAAAGAATCAAATCAATAAGGGAGATTTTCAAACTGTAACAGCGAGAACACATGAAGGATCAAAGATGCAGTTGACCCATTAAAAGTTCACAGTGATAATGAATGCCTCAAGGCTATGAATTTGTAGATGCAAAATCATCCTGCGAAGCATTTCGGTCCAACTATGAGCACAGAAAGCGACCTTTATGATGTATCGATCTTGTGCATTCTATCCAACTTCCAAATTGAAAGTGGTCCAAGCACCACACCCTGCAATAACAAAACAGCCTTGTAATGCAACTGGAATGCTAACTACTTCACCAAGCTGGTCAGTGTAGAGTGGAAGCTAGCTGGGGCCCCGAGGCCTCCGTAAGGGGTCAAGTTAAGCGGCTCAATCATCCAGCCGGTAAAGTCAGCGTAATTGAACATGATAGAAAGTCATCTCACATCTGGTAGTCTGTGGACTTGGGCTACCCAAGCCTTTGGTCTTCTGGTTTAAGGGGGGATTTAAAGACAATCCAACAGGGCACAGAGGTGGCGGTCTCATTTAGTGCCCGCTCCCCTGTACGACCCTACAAATGTTTCATGCCCAAAACAATTTATTTTTGGTTGGCCTGAAGTACTTTAGAAGGTAGCTATGCAGGAATGGTAATTCATACTTTTACCCGATACTTCTTTTTTTTCTACCATTAACTCCCCAGATATTTTTGCTAGGAAACTTACTAAAATCTTCAAAATCTTCCATTGTGCACAAACCTAATGACATTCTTTTCACTTCAACTTCCGAAGGGCCATCAAATCATCTGTGAAGAAACACTTCCCGGCTCAATCTACCTTAATCCAGTAAAAATCCTCCCAACACTCTAGAGGGATTATGGAGGATCAGAGAGAATTTGGCTTCTTGTCCAATAAGAAATAGTGAGTAGGACCTTTAATTTAGGTCATACTTTTTGTCTTTGCCAGTGCTATTCAAATCATGTTTATATGAATAAGAAACAGCCGTTGAAGTCACAGAACGTTGAAGTTTCCAGGAGAGAGCACCATAACAAAGTCTGTGGTTACCTATAGGACACATGGTTTGCATTAAACAGCCAAAGTTAACTTGGCTCCCCCGAGTTTAAGGGTGAAATGGCAGAATGTCCCCCCCCCCCCCTGTTGATGTGCACACCACAATCTGTCTACAAATGTTCTCCAAGCATTTCCTCATTCTGTGTGTAACATTTTCGGCATTCAAGGGAAGAGATTTTTTTGAAATTAATGAGCAATTGATCGTGGTGATATTCATC